GGCTAATTTTGTATTTTTAGTAGAGACGGGGTTTCTTCATGTTGGTCAGGCTGGTCTCAAATTCCCAGCCTCAGGTGATCTGCCCACCTCAGCCTCCCAAAGTGCTGGGATTACAGGCATGAGCCACCGTGCCCGGTACGGATTGACCTTATCTTTCCAGTATCTTTCCTGGGCAAATATTACATGTGTTTTCCTTTTCTTAGTTAAAAAGAATTTAGGAGGTTAGGTGCAGTGGCTCATGCGTGTAATCCCAGCACTTTGGGAGGCCGAGGCGGGCGGATCACCTGAGGTGAGTTTGAGACCAACCTGGCTGTTAGAAAAGGTTAGAAAGAAGGTAAATTCCATTGACCCCTTTCTTTCTGTTCCCATTTCCCAGAAGTAACCATTGTAATAGTTTATTGTGTATCCTTCCAAATCCTATTTGCATATCCAAAGCAGATGTATGTAACTATTAAAAACATACAGGGAATTACAGTATATAAACTTTGTACAAATTAGGCACCATTTATAGTGCATTTTCTTTCTTTTTTTTGTATCTAGCAAAATACAGTGCGTTTTTAAAATGCTTTGAGAGGTGCCATGAAGCCAAAGAATTTCATAATTTTTTAAAAAAAATCTTAGTTATTCCATTTATACTTTTTATGGTTTTGTGGTTTCTGTCCTACTGAAAATTGTTGGAAATGAGAATGCATGTTGATTATGATTCTTTTCAGGATACTTCTAGTGTCACTGGCTCCCATAAAACAGAACAGCGGAATGCCGATCTCACAGGAGATGAGACTTCACGACTTTTTGTAAAGAAAACAATAGTAGTGGGCAATGTGTCTAAGTGAGTATCCAGTTGAATTTATTTTTATTTGTCCATTTATGTTAATACTTTGGCACCAATACTCTCATTGTAATATTACAGTAGGAAGAGGCCTCAAGGATTCTTTTTCCCAAGCCTTTAGTTGTTTAAAAAGTAAACCACAACGTAGAAACTTTATTAGGATAATTGTGCTCATTAGTGAGCACAGTCAGAATTTGAATCTAGGTCTCCTGTTTTTCTTTTATTTTGAGACAGAGTTTCACTCTTCTTGGCTGGGCTGGAGTGCAGTGGTGTGACCTCAGCTCACCTCAACCTCCGCCTTACAGGTTCAAGTGATTCTCCTGCCTCAGCCTCCCTAGTAGCTGGGGTTACAGGTGTACAACACCACGTCTGGCTAATTTTGTATTTTTTGTAGAGATGGGATTTCACCACTTTGGTCAAGCTAGTGTCTAACTCCTGACCTTGTGATCTGCCTGTCTTGGCCTCCCAAGGTGCTGGGAGTACAGATGTGAGCCATCATGCCTGGCCTTTTTAAAAAAATGCTTTTATTACTCTTTCACCCAGTCTGGAGAGCAGTGGCTCAGTCTTGGCTCACTGCAACCTCTGCTTCCCAAGTTCAAGTGATTCTTCTGTCTCAGCCTCTGGAGTAGCTGGGATTACAGGCGCATGCCACCATGCCTGGCTAATTTTTGCATTTTTTGTAAAGACGGGGTTTTATCATGTTGGCCAGGCTGGTGCTGAACTCCTGACTTCATGATCCGCCTGCCCTGGCCTCCTAAAGTTCTGAGATTACAGGCGGGAGCCACCCCACCCAGCTTTATTACTCTTCTTAAACAAATAGCCCCAGGGTCAGGGCACCTAGGTCTCCTAACTTCCTTTTGGATATTATTTCCTTTGTACTGCCTCTATACAGTGCCATCCTGCCTTGCCTTGCACAATATCCACAAAGGATAAATAAGGGGAAGATGTTTGTTCCAAAATACTGCTAGAGAAGAGGCAGTATATTAACTCCTACACCTTCTTGTGTAGTTTGTAAAATGTGCTAATTGTTAGGTATTTGAAAGCCAGTAGAGGATGGTAAATCCTCAGATCCTGCCCTCAATTTGAATGTTCAGATCTTCATTTTTGTCTCTACATTTACATTCTTGCGTCTGCCATTGTTTTAGTCTCTTCCCACACTGCTAATAGAGACATACTCGAGACTAGGTAATTTATAAAAGGAAAGAGGTTTAATGGACTCACAGTGCCACATGGCTGGGGAGGCCTCACAGTCATGGCAGAAGGCAAAGGAGAAGCAAAGTCATGTCTTAAGTGGAGGCAGGCAAGAGAACTTGGGTAGGAGAACTCCTGTTTATAAAACCATAAAGACCCCTCCCCATGATTCCTGGTTACCTCCCACTGGGTCCCTCCCAGGACGTGTGGGAATTCTGGGAGCTACAATTCAAGATGAGATTTGGGTGGGGACATACCAAACCATATCAGCCATTTACTTGTAATTGGCACTTCCAAAGCTGAAACCAGATTCTTCTCCCTGGAAAACCTATTTCCTGTTCTTTTGTTTTGGTTTGAAATGGAAGAGTGTAAGTGTGGTGGGTTTCTTTGACTTTTGTTCTTCTTCAGAATCTTACAACAGGTCCTTTTTTGTGACTCGAAGGCAAACCAAAGAGATTTGTATCTAACAAGTCATCAGGACGTGAGAATAAAGTAGATAAAGCCTTCTCAGTCACCTCTTTATATTAATACTTGGGCATAATACTCATATTATCCTGGTATTACAGCAGGAAGAGACCTCAGGGAATGTTTTTTTGAGCCCTTAGTGGCTTCAAAAGTGAACCAAGGTCCAGAGATTTGAGTCTCTGCCTTAGCGTGTCTGCCAGTCTTTCCCTTAGAATAAAACAGTGCTTGGTAGAAATTTCTAAGACATAAGCTCTTACACAAATATAATTGGCCAATTGTGTCACTGTGTGTAAGTTTGGAAGAACTTTTGACTACTATGAACCAGTTCTGTCTTTAGGGGCCTTAGTGAATTCTAAAAATGTTGATTTGGTTGCCCAAAATTGTTTTTAGTTCATAATAAAAGGTTGCTGAGCAGATTTTTTTTTTTTTTTTTGAGACGGAGTTTCGCTCTTGTTACCCAGGCTGGAGTGCAATGGCGCGATCTCGGCTCACCGCAACCTCCGCCTCCTGGGTTCAGGCAATTCTCCTGCCTCAGCCTCCTGAGTAGCTGGGATTACAGGCACGCACCACCATGCCCAGCTGATTTTTTGTATTTTTAGTAGAGACGGGGTTTCACCACGTTGACCAGGATGGTCTCCATCTCTTGACCTCGTGATCCACATGCCTCGGCCTCCCAAAGTGCTGGGATTACAGGCGTGAGCCACCGCGCCCGGCCATGAGCAGATCTTGAAGGCAGAATTCCTCCAAGCTCCAGAGCCATGTACTTTACCGATATGATCTCAGGCTGCCTTCTTACCTTGTAGCAGCTTCATCATTTTTGCCAAGTGTCTAGGGCTAGATAAAGACGTTGTAAATCCTCTCATAACATAAGAATGTTAAGTATATATTTGGCCTAGATGTAAATAGTTGGAAGGGATTAAATTAATTTGATGGAGAAAAATTGATTACAGTGGTTAAGATTCTAAACGGTAACATATTTAACTAATTTCCTCATGAAGTTTTATTTGCTGATCCCTTCCTCATTAGGTATATTCATCTATGCTCTCTGTGATTTTTATCATATTATGTGGCCATTTTCTGTATTCAGATATTTTTCTCAAATCAGACTGGAGTCTCTTTAGGGTGGAAACTGTGTCTTACCTGGTTTTGTTTTGTTTTTTTCGAGATGTAGTTTCACTCTTGTTACCCAGCCTGGAGTGCAGTGGCGTGATCTCGGCTCACTGCACCCTCCACCTCCTGGGTTTGAGCAGTTCTCCTGCCTCAGCTTCCCAATTAGTTGGGATTACAGGCAGGCACTGCCACACCTGGATAATTTTGTATTTTTAGTAGAGATGGAATTTCACTATGTTGATCAGCCTGGTCTGGAACTCATGACCTTGGGTGAGCCACCCGCTTTGGCCTCCAAAAGTGCTGGAATTACAGACGTGAGTCACCATGCCCAGCCTTGTCTGGTTTTGTACCTTACAGTATTTATTTAGTAAATATTTGATTGATTAATTGATAAAAGGAGAAAAATATATACAAACCTGGTGAAATTAATTTTAAAAATTACTCATAGAAAAAAGAGAAGGCACAAATAATCTTCATAAAAAAGAAGGTATAACTGCAGGTGCTGTACCATTAAAGAGATGAGAAACCACTAACTTCTTTATGCCAATGCATTTAAATAATTAGATGATTGTGTAGCCCAAATCTTCTTATGGTCTAGTAGGTCTGCCTGAATTTACAGGCATGGCCTTTTCTGGGCTGACCTCTCTTGTAAAGATATTACCTCTTCCCATATCGTTCTATAGATAACAGTTAAAATCCCAACAGGGGGCTGGATGCAGCGGCTTACGCCTGTAATCCCAGCACTTTGGGAGGCTGAGGCAGGCGGATCACAAGGTCAAGAGATCAAGACCATACTAGCCAACATAGTGAAACCCGATCTCTACTAAAAATACAAAAATTAGCTGGGCGTGGTGGCACTTGCTTGTAGTCCCAGCTACTCGAGAGGCTGAGGCAGGAGAATCACTTGAATCCAGGAGGTGGAGGTTGCAGTGAGCCGAGATCGTGCCACTGTACTCCAGCCTGGCGTCAGAGCAAGACTCCATCTCAAAAAAAAAAAAAAAAAACAAACCCAACAGTGTTTGTGACTTTCATAGGCTAGAATAGTAAAGGGCCAAGATTGGACAAGAACACTCCACAAGAGCTAGGTTAGGCAACTTGCCCCCTACCCCATATTACTAAGGATTAGCGCTAGGCAGAGACGAGCATATAGAGGGTCATGACCATATGTTCTGTATGAATCGAAGAAGGGGGTCTCATACTGAAATGAAGACAGGGTCCATAAAGGGAAGCACTAAAGATGCTAGTTTTACCATGATCAGGACTTCAGGGAATGGCACGTCTTAGCTTTCAGAGGGCAGGAGACTAGGTGCAGCCTTTTTGGCAACCATGAGAGTCACCAGAAAGGCCCAGAGCTGTAGCACCCTGAAACCTAAATGAAATCAACCTTAAGGCTAGAGGTTCCCTGACCCAGGAATAAAAAATACGTCAGTTTATTTCCACCTTAGATGTCTATTTAGCGGGAAAAGCAAGTTTGCCTTTTTTTAAAAAATTGCATGCTGAATGAGTAGAACAAAACAAACTTTTAACACGATGCCCCTTAAACCAAATTTATGTTTTATTTATTTTATTAATTTGGTTTAGTTCATTAATTTAAATTTTCTGAGGTAATGGCTTGCTCTGTCACCCAGACTGAAGTGCAGTGATGTGATTGTAGCTCGCTGCAGCCCCGGACTCCTGGGCTCAGGCAGTCCTCCCACCTCCTCAGCCTCTCAGCTAGCTGGGACTGCAGGCGTGGGCCACTGCGCCCAGCTGAGTTTAAAATTTTAAACTCAGTGACAGGCTCTCACTATGTTGCCCAGGCTGATCTCTAACTCCTGGCCTCAAGCAGTCCTCCCAGCTCAGCCTCCCGAAGTGCTGGCATTAGTGTGAGCCAGCCACTGCATCCAGCCCCAACTATGTTTTAGAAAGAAAGGAAAAAAAAAATGATTAACTTGCAAAGACTCATTTTGTTTGTTTAGGTGATGTAGCTGTTAAATATTGTGGGAATTTTAATCTTGTTTTTAATTTGAAGTAGGAGTTAATTATTTTGTTAGGATTTTAAAGGACAAAAAGGATTCAGGTCTCTTTTTTCTTTTTCTCTAGGTATATACCTCCGGATAAGAGGGAAGAAAATGACCAGTCAACTCATAAGTGGATGGTATATGTCCGAGGGTCTCGTAGAGAACCCAGCATTAATCATTTTGTCAAGAAAGTTTGGTTCTTCCTACATCCCAGCTATAAACCAAATGACCTTGTGGAAGTTAGGTAAACATACTTGAGCTATTTAACCTGAATTGAAATACACATTTATTGACATGGAAGAAAAGTGATTTAACTTCAGAACATTTCCTGGAAATGTAATAATAATTAAAAATTGACTCTTAGTCACAATATAGTTTTAGTTGTAGTTCACTCTTTGAGATTACTGTCTCACTGAGCAGGCATTGTCTTCTCCTAGCTGATTGTTACCACACTAATTCTATTAGCTGATTTTGCTCCCCTCTGGAAATAGCTAAACTTGTTTATATAGTTACAGATACATATGAAAATGTTACTTCTTGCCAAGGCAGTGGCTCACGCCTATAATCATAGCACTTTGGGAGGCTGAGGCAGGTGGATCACCTGAGGTCAGGAGTTCGAGACTAGCCTGACCAACATGGTGAAAGCCCATCTCTACAAAAATACAAAAATTAGCTGGGCATGATGGTGGGTGCCTGTGATCCCAGCTACTTAGGATTCTGCGGCACAAGAATGGCTTGTACCCGGTAGGCGTAGTTACAGTGAGCAGACTTCACGCCACTTCACTCCAGCCTGGGCGAAAGAGAGAAACTCCATCCCCCCCAAAAAAAGAAAAGGAAAGAAAAGAAATTGTTATTTATTTTTATGAATATCAGAATATAGCAGAATTAAATATAGTATTCTAACACTATAGACTAATTAATGTTGAAAGTTCCCCATGATCTCACTCTCTTCAGAAGTAACTGCCAATCGTATTTCTTTTGTACATATTTTAATGTAGTACAGTTTGTTGTTCTTATTTCACCAAGATGAAATGATTATATATATTTTGGGAAATTTGCTTGTATCATTTAGGTGTATTCTTTAGATCTTTATATGATGTTACACATATACACATTAATTGTGGGTGTTTTTTTGGTGGGGGGCAGAGTCTTGCTCTGTCATCCAGGCTGGAGTGCAGTGGAACGATCTTGACTCATTGCAGCCTCCACCTCCTGGGTTCATGCAGTTCTCATGCCTCAGCCTTCCATGTAGCTGTGATTACAGGTGCACACCACCACGCCTGGCTAATTTTTGTATATTTTGTAGAAATGGAGTTTTGCCATGTTGGCTAGACTGGTCTTGAACTCCTGAGCTCAAGCCCTCTGCCTGCCTTGGCCTCCCAAAGTGCTGAGATTACAGACATGAGCCACCACGCCTGACCCATATTAATTGTATACTTTCACTGTATAAGTGGTTGTTGGTTATTATCAGTGAGATCTCTATTCTGTGCTCTGTTCAGAGCCTTGCTTCACCCCCAACTCCTAAAACATGGCTGCCTCCTGAAACTCTGCTCTTTTTTAACCCTTTAAAGTGTTGGTGGCTGTTTTTTTTCTCACACCATTGCGCCTGAGGGTGGGATGGGTGTCTTTCTTGATAGTATTTATGGCTTCTGGACCACCTCTCCCTGCCAAGGATGACTGGGGAAATTAGTAGATAATTGCAACAGAAGAGGAGCAGCAACCTCAAAGCAGTTGAGGCTTTTTGGAAAAGGGAGAAAGGTTTCAACACCTGGTTTGCTGATTTTCTCTCTATCATAACTCTTGCTGTCATTCTTAAGGACTTTGCATACGTAGAGACAATTTATCCAAAACCCTTGTCTCTTGGTTCTTTGATTTCTTCACTTGGATGCTTAGGTTATTGTAGTGATATATCATAGAATCTAAGCAGAGTAGGGAGAGAAGATACCTATGTAAGAGCAATGATGGCTGGTGAAAAGTTTTGTGAGCAAGAAATAGAAGTCTCCATGAAGTCAAATAATAGTTGGATTGGGGTGAAACTGGAAAGACAGGGGCTTGGTGGTCAGAAAGTGAAATATTTGCAAATAAGATTTTTGTAGGTAAGTACAGTATGTTTATCTTCTTCATAATAATTATCATGGCTATCAGTTGATCCGTCCTTTCCCTGCATCTAATACACACTAAATTCCCTTGCAAGCATGGATCTTATTCTAGACTTTTAATAACTACCCCTGTAACAGTACTATACTATTGTAATTGTAATTGCTTGATAACATATTCTGATATCTAATAGATTATATTCTACTCATTATTATTTTAAACTTTTTTTGGTCCTTTTTGAGTATATATATTTTTCTAGATTACCTTAGAATCAAATTGTCAAGGTACAGATTGGAATTGCACAGAATTAATGATTAATTTTCACATTTTTAATGATACTGGGGCTCTCTCCTGTCTACTCAAGAGGATCAGTGTAGTAGTTTTTTAATGCAAATAAGATTTTTTCTTTTATTAGTATTTATAAAACTTTCTTCTTTTTCTTGATATATTTCACTGAGAAGAGCCTCAGAAAAGTGTTGATACTCTATTTTATTCTAGTAATAAAGTTTACTTGGTAAAGAAGCAGTTTGATTCATAGGCTCTCAAACATTGGTGTTGGAAAGACCTTGTCTGTAATTTGGTTTAACTCTATACCTGATGTAATCCTTTCAGAAATACCTTCTACAACCAACCTCAGCATGCAGCCTCTCCTAGAAAACCACTAGTGACATACACTTGTTTTCTTTGCCTGGAATACCATCTTTCTCCCTGTTGTCTGTTTTCATACACACACACATGCGTACTCACGTTTGCACACACATACACAGTGTGGCCATCTGAAGATCTGCTTTTTTTTTTAATTTTTGAGATGGAGTTTTGCTCTTGTTGCCCAGGCTGGAGTGTGCAGTGGTGCGATCTCTGGTCACCGCAACCTCCGCCTCCTGGGTTCAAGGATTCTCCTGCCTCAGCCTCCCAAGTAGCTGGGATTATAGGCATGCACCACCATGCCTGGCTAATTTTGTATTTTTAGTAGAGATGGGGTTTCTCCATGTTGGCCAGGCTTGTCTCAAACTCCTGACCTCAGGAGATCCACCTGTCTCCACCTCCCAAAGTGCTGGGATTACAGGCGTGAGCCACCTCGCCCGGCCTGAAAATCTGCACTTTATCCTTCAAGATGTCAATCAGAAACTACTTCCTCAATGAATCTTTTCTTGTCTCACTTTCTTCCACAAGTTAAATTACAGTGAATGACTGTTTACTTGAATGGTTGGGATTTTAACAATATTTTATAGTTTAGCAATAGTTTATATAGATAGTATGTAGTATTTTTAGTAGAGACAGGGTTTCACCACGTTGGCCAGGATGGTCTGAATCTCCTGACCTCGTGATCCACCTGCCTCGGACTCTCGAAGTGCTGGGATTACAGGCGTGAGCTACCACGCTCAGCCGATTTTTAAATAATGTTTTAAAAGAGATGATTGCTTGTGTGCTTCTGGTGTTTAAAACTCCTGGAGAAATTATGTGCTGTGATCCACCGTAGCTCTGTGGTTTTTAATAGCAGGTAATGTATATAAGTCGATTACAGCATTTATTCATTTACATGTATGTCTCACCAGATTTACAGCTTCTTGATGTTTGGGACCTTATCTTGTCCTTATATCCCCAGAGTCTGCTGTGCAAGGTGGCTCACGCCTGTAATCCCAGCACTTTGGGATGCTGAGGCAGGTGGATCAAAAGGTCAGGAGTTCAAGACCAGTTATTGCGTCTTACCGATTTCTTTCAGTTGTCACTCATGTGACTTTGTTTTGTGTTCCTTTGCCATTCAGGCTATGTTCTTTGGCATACTCCAGTTTACCTGTATTCCTTTTTTTAATTTTAATTTTTTATTTTTTTGAGGCAGAGCCTCCCTCTGTTGCATGGCTGGAGTGCAGTGGCACGATCTTGGCTCTTAAAAATCAAACACTCAGGCCAAGCATGGTGGCTCACGTCTGTAATCCCAGCACTTTGGGAGGCCAACATGGGCGGATCACCTGAGGTCAGGAGTTTGAGACCAGCCTGGCCGAGATGGTGAAACCCCGTCCCTACAGAGTGAGACTCTGTCTGGAAAAAAAAAAATGACCCCCAGCACTTTGGGAGGCTGAGGCAGGCAGATCACAAGGTCAAGAGATCGAGACCATCCTGGCCAACATGGTGAAACCCTCGCTACTAAAAACACAAAAATTAGCTGGGTGTGGTGGTGTGTGCCTATAGTCCCAGCCACTCGGGAGGCTGAGGCAGGAGAATTGCTTGAACCCGGGAGGCGGAGGTTGCAGTGAGCCGAGATCACGCCACTGCACTCCAGCCTGTCGCCTGGCGACAAAGTGAGACTCTGTCTCAAAAAAAAAAAAAAAGAATGGCCATTTGAATGAATTAGTTGAGCAAGGAGTTGTCCTCCATTCTGTATTTCCAATAGAGCCATTTTTGTTTCATCCCCATAGTCTTAGGTTTTTTCCCTCTTGGTGTCACTGATTTATTTCATCTTCTATGAGGAATCTAGTAATATTGAAGTTTGTTCAGGGGAGGCGGTCCTTTATTGTATGAAGTAACATCTTTTGAAGTATAGCATTTGTAGGGCTTAGGGGTTTTTTTTTGCTTTTAAAAATATGTTTATGAGGCCGGGCGCGGTGGCTCAAGCCTGTAATCCCAGCACTTTGGGAGGCCGAGGCGGGTGGATCACGAGGTCAAGAGATCGAGACCATCCTGGTCAACATGGTGAAACCCCGTCTCTACTAAAACTACAAAAAATTAGCTGGGCATGGTGGCGCGTGCATGTAATCCCAGCTACTCAGGAGGCTGAGGCAGGAGAATTGCCTGAACCCGGGAGGCGGAGGTTGCGGTGAGCCGAGATCGTGCCATTGCACTCCAGCCTGGGTAACAAGAGCGAAACTCTGTCCAAAAAAAAAAAAAAAAAAATATGTTTATGGAGGAATTTCCTGTTAAAAAGCATTGTTCATTTTTCCTGACTTTGCACTGTTTGTCTTCTCTGGCAGCAGTCTTTCCTGTCTGTTCACTAAAGGTTAGGCCGTGTACATGCATTGAGAAACATCCCTAATTTATCATATTCATTGTGAGAGAAGTTAAGCTTTCAGGGTGATTGAGGCATATTGCAAAATGAGTTTAGACTTACCGTTTAGCTTTGCTGGAATTTAAATGAGCAAACTTAACGTCAGTAGAATTGCCATTAATTTACTCTTCTCAAGTCCACCATGCCTCTAGGCTCTCCTGTATCCCTGGCTGTGAGTCTCATTTCAGACTGTTTTGGCCTTCTATACCCCCAAGCCTGAATCTATACCCATATCATGGCTGCTTCTCTTTGCTCCTGTGTAGCTGGTTTCTTCCATCCAGGGCACTCTCATTTGCTTTGCTTTGCTTTGCTTTTTCTCTGGTTTATAAAGTATTTATTAATTCCTCTGCTTTCTAGGTTACCCGCATGCGCAGGGCTTTTTCCTGACTCAGGCTCCATGGTGAGCTCCTCGCTCTGTGTTTGTTAATTCACATCTGTTAGGTGCCTATCAGGTTGCATTCTTGTACTCTGCACTTACTGAATTCAGTTTTCCAAAAACACTATCTGTTGAGTTTCTTTCTCCTTGTAATTTTTTTTTTTTTTTTGAGACGGAGTTTCGCTCTTGTTACCCAGGCTGGAGTGCAATGGCGCGATCTCGGCTCACCGCAACCTCCGCCTCCTGGGTTCAGGCAATTCTCCTGCCTCAGCCTCCTGAGTAGCTGGGATTACAGGCATGCACCACCATGCCCAGCTAATTTTTTGTATTTTTAGTAGAGACGGGGTTTCACCATGTTGACCAGGATGGTCTTGATCTCTTGACCTCGTGATCCACCCGCCTCGGCCTCCCAAAGTGCTGGGATTACAGGCGTGAGCCACTGCGCCCGGCCAATTTTTTTTTTTTTTTTTTTGAGATAGAGTCTCGCTCTGTCACCTAGGCTGGAATGCAGTGGTGTGATCTCAGCTCGCTGCAGCCTCCACCCCTGGGTTCACGCAATTGTCATGTCCTCCCAAAGTGTTGGGATTACAGGTGTGAGCCACTGCGTCCTACCTCCTTGTAATTTTGATATCTTCTCTCATTACAATAATTCTAAGCCAGGATGCATAACAAATGTTTTCATGTTAAAAGCATTCTCTCTCTTTCCTATGGACTTAAACCATATTGTTTTGAGTACTTAAAGATATCTCAATTAAATTTCTAAATTTTTTGCTGTGGAAAATTTCAAACATATACGAAAGTAAAGAGTATAATGAACCCTCATGTGCCCATCACCAGTTTGCTTTTCTTTTCTGTCAATTTCCCCCCCTTTTTTTCCTTCACAAATTACATTGTGCTGAGAATTCTCCAGTCTAGTTAGCATACACACACATTCCTCTCTGCCCACTAAAATCAGTCATAGTCACTGTTCAGGGATGGTGATATTGTGAACATATTATCTTTTTTAAGTCTTCTTAGCAGAGAGTTTCAAATATATTGGCACTTTCAGTTGAGCGTGTTCATGATTTATTTTGTTTCTGCCTCAGTGGGGAGTAATAAATATGAGGGTTTAGGGTAGGGAATGTTTACCCCATGGCCTGTATCTGTCAAATGCCAATTAAGGATGCTGGCTCTCCAGTGGCATTTATCAGATCGCCTTAGATTGCTCATCTATGAAAATGACATTGGATTATATGGTCTAAGTTTACTCTAGCTCTTAGCGTTCAGTAATTGAAAGTTTAACCGAGCTTTGAGTTGAATTTTTATAATTTAGCATTTTAGCAAAATTCAACTTTTTAAATGAAGAAACCTAAATGATTCTCAGAACAAAGTGAACTTCTGATTTGCCCGTTGTCAGAAAACTGTTCGTGTGTAGGATAAGAGAGTGAACGTGGATGAATGTGTTAATAATCTGCTTTTCCATAGAGAACCTCCTTTCCACCTGACCAGAAGAGGCTGGGGTGAATTTCCCGTCAGAGTTCAAGTTCACTTTAAGGACAGCCAGAACAAGCGGATAGATATCATACATAATCTGAAGGTATTGTAACAAAACATTGTTCTCTCGTTTTGAAGTCTCTTTTTACCAGCTACGGTTGATTCTTGAACAACATAGGGGTTAAGGGCCTCCTCACAATAAAAAATTCACATATAACTTTTGACTCCCCTAAAACTTCACAATTAAAAGCCTGCTGTTCACTGCAAGCCTTACTAACAATGTAAATAGTCAGTTAACACATATTTTGCATGTTATATATATTATAGACTATTCTGATAATAAAGTAAGCTGGAGAAAACTATTACTAAGAAAATCATAAGGAATAGAACATATATTTACTATTTCATTAAGTGGAAGTGGATCATCTTGAAGGTCTTTATCCTCACCATCTTCACATTGAGTAGGTTGAGGAATAGGAGGGGTTGGTCTTGCTGCCTCGGGTGGCAGAGGTGGAGGAAACTCCATGCATATAGGATCTGTGCAGTTCAAACCCATGTTCAAGGGTTAACTGTATTCAGAGTAGTCCTGTTAGGTCTTCTGCAAGAAGTGGCTAAGAATAGTGGGCGGAGGAGATAGTACATTGAGTGTGTTATGCTTACTGCTACTATACTACTTTGTCCTCTGATGGTTGGAGAATCACTTTACAGGTTGGAGAAACACTTTATATATCCTATAAAAAGACGAACAAAATGGTCAGATAATCAGAAGACATGAATCTTTGATCAGACTTCACCATCAGTGTGTTTCTTGGGGCTAAGTTACTGAACACTTTTAAAAATCTATTTACTTTTCTATAAAGTGGGGCAAATAATACCATTTGTCTGTAAAGATAGAAGTGAGGATGTTTTGGAAATTATAAAGTACTATACAAGATTGTAATACTTTTGTATTATAAGAAACCCTTTAATGATAGCTATAGCCATGTGGTTTATGGTGCAGCCATTGTAAATTATATCTTATGAAGTGTTTTCTATCCATGGGGAGAACTGCCCTTTGGGAAGTTAAATGCAGACTACGGGCATACTTTGTTTCATTGCACTTTGCTTATTGTGCTCAGTAGATACTCTGTTTTTTAAAAATCGAAGGTTTGTGGCAACCCCGTGTCAGACAAGTCTGTGAGCACCACTTTTCCAACATCATGTGCTCATTAGTGTCTCTCTGTCACATTTTGGTAATTCCTGAAATATTTTAAACTTTTTTATTATTATATCTGTTTGGATGATCCTATGATCAGTGGTCTTTGATGTTACTCTTATGATTTTGGGGCATGACAAGCTGTGCTCATACAGGAGGAGGAACTTAATTGACCCGTGTTGTGTGGATTCTGACTGCTCCAGCAACCAGTGGTTCCCCATCTCTTTCCCTCTTTTTGGACCTTCCTATTCTCTGAGAGCAACAGTATTGAAATTAGACCAGTGAACAACTTTATAATGGCTTCCAAGAGTTGAAGAAGAAGGGTTACATATCTCTCACTTTAAAGGCTAGAAAGGATTAAGCTCAGTGAAAAAAGCATGTGGAAAGCCAAGATAGGCTAAAAGCGAGGCCTCTTGTGCCAAACAGCCAAGTTGTGACTGTAAAGGAAAAGTTATTAAAGGACATTAAAAGTGCTATTCCAGTGAACATGCAAATGATCAGAAAGCAAAGCAGCCTTCTTGCTGATGGAGGAAGTCTAGGTGATCTGTATAGAAGATCAAACCAGCTGTACTATTCCCTTAAGCCAAAGCCTAATCTAGGGCAAGGCCCTAACTCTTCAATTCTATGAAGGCTGAGAGGGGTGAGGAAGGTTCAGAAAAAAAGTTTGAAGCTAGCAGATGTTGGCTCGTGAGGTTTTTTCTTTCTTTTTTCTTTTAACCAGGAACACGTGCACTTTATTGAACACCATTGTAGAAAAGCATGTGAGGATAAAGTGGTGGTACAGGGCTCGGCTTGGGGGCAGGGCAAGGAATGAAAGGGGGAGGGAGTACGTGGGAACCAGGTCATGGGCAGAGCCCCTGGCCTGGATGATTCCTCTTGATCTATTGGTATGCATGCAGAATCAGGATTGGGATGATGATAAGCAGAATGGTCACGATGATGCCCAAATTCAGGGCCCAGACGTTCAGGCACTTGGCAGTAGAGGCGTAGGCCTGGGCCCTGGTCAGGTCGCCAGCCATTTTCCTGTCCCTGGACTTGACGGAGTAGGAGACCACTATGAAGCCCAGGCAGCAGAGTTTATGAGGAGGGTGTTGAATAGGGACCAGCCGACATGGGCACGGAGGTCCTGCTGCGGATGTGGATCACGGTGGATGTCAGGCGCACAGGGTTGTGGGGTGCCCCCATTGCAGCCACCTCATGCTCCTCCTACAGCATCTCATAGTTGGGGGGATGGTCGGTGTTGGCAGGAATGAAGAAGGTTTGGACAGTGTGGTTCATGGTGTCCAGGTAAGGCGAGCTGTGGTCGGGTTGCTGGGATTGTTCTCTGGTTCTTGAGGTTTAAAGAAAGACTCTGTCTCCATAACATAAGTGCAAGGTGAAGCAACAAGTGCTGAAGAAGCAGCTGCAGGTTATCCAGAACACCCAGCCAAGATCATTGATGAATGTGGCTACACTAAACAACAGGTGTTCACTGGAGATGAAACGGGCTTCTGTTGGAAGAAGAGCCCATCTAGGACTTCCATAGCTAGAGAGGAGAAGTCAGGGCCTGGCTTCAGAGCACAGGGTTGAGTCTCTTGTTAGGGGCTAATGTACCTGGTGGCTTTATTTATTTTTATTTGTTGAGACAAACTCTCGCTCTGTCACCCAGGCCGAAGTATAGTGGTATGATCTCGGCTCACTGCAACCTCTGCCTCCCGGGCTCAAGCACTCTTCCCACCTCAGCCTCCCAAGTAGCTGGGATTAGAGGTGCCTACCACCACATCTAGATAATTTTTGTATTTTTAGTAGAGATAGGATTTCGCCATGTTGTCCTGGGCCTGAGCCCAGCCACAGCTGGTAACTTTAAATTGAAACCAGCGCTCATTTACCATCCATAAGTAAATTTTTACCATAAGATTTACTTACGGTAAAAAATTTACTTCTGGTAAAATTTACCATAAGTAAATCTTATGGTCCTTAATAATGATGTTAAATCTACTCTGCCTGTGCTTTGTAAATGGAACAACAAAGCCTGGATGACAACACATCTGTTTATAGCATGGTTTACTAAAAAACATTTTTTTTTTTTGAAACAGAGTCTCGCTCTGTTGGCATTACAGTCATGCCTGTAATCCCAGCACTTTGAGAGGCTGAGATGGGTGGATCACTTGAGGCCAGGAGTTCAAGATCAGCCTAGCCAACATGGTGAATCCCTGTCTCTACTGAAAATGCAAAAAGTAGCTGGGAATGGTGGCTCATGCTTGTAGTCCCAGCTCCTCAGGATGCTAAGACAGGAGAATCACTTGAACCTGGGCAAAGGTTGCAGTGAGCCAAGATCGTGCCACTGTTCTCCAGCCTGGGTGACAGAGCAAGACTGCATCTTAAAAAAAAAAAAGCTCTGATGGAGATGTACAAGGAGATTAATGTTATGTTCATGCCTGCTAACACAATATCCATTCCATAAAGGAGTAATTTTGACATTCAAGTCTTACTGTTTTAAGAAATGTATTTTGTTGCCAGATACGGTGGCTCATGCCTATAATACCAGCACTTTGGGAAGCCACGGCAGAATGATCGTGTGAGCTCAGGAGACAAGCCTGGGCAACAGAGTAAGACCTCGTCTCTACAAAAAAATAAATAAATAAATTAGCCAGGCATGGAGTGCATGCCTGTAGTCCCAGCTACTTGGGAGGCTGTGGTGGGAGGATCAGCTTCATGATCCCAGGAGGTTGAGGCTGCTGTGAGCCATGATCAAGCCACTGCCCTCTAGCTTAGGTGACAGAGAAAGTCCCTGTCTCAAAAAAAAAAAAAAAGGAAAAGAAAAAAATATATTTTGTGAGGCTATAGATGTCATAGATGGTGATTTCTTAGAAGGATTTGGTCAAAGTAAATTGAAAACCTCCTGGAAAGGACTAACCATTCCAGATGCTACTGAGAACATCTGAGATTCATGAGAGGCGGTCAGAGTGGCAACATTAACAGGAGTTTGAAAGAAATTGATTCCAACCCCATGGGTGACTTAAGTTCAAGACTTCAGTGGAGGAACTAGCTGCAGATATGGTGGAAATAGCAAGAGTACAAGAATTAGAAAGTAGAGCCTGAAGACATGACTCAATTGCTGCAATTTTATGATTAAACTTGAATGCATGAGGATTTGCCTCTTTTTTTTTAAAGACTGAGTTTCCCTCTTGCTACCCAGGCTGGAGTGCAATGGCGCAATCTCGGCTCACTGCAACCTCCGCCTCCTGGGTTCAAGCAATTCTCCTGCCTCAGCCTCCCGAGCAGCTGGGACTACAGGCACGCACCACCATGCTCAGCTAATTTTTTGTATTTTTAGTAGAGACACGGTTTCACCATGTTGACCAGGATGGTCTCAATCTCTTGACCTTGTGATCCACCCACCTCGGCCTCCCAAAGTGCTAGGATTATAGGCGTGAGCCACCGCGCCCGGCCGAGGATTTGCTTCTTATGGATAAGAAAGTAAGTGGCTTCTTGAGATGGAATCCACTCCTGGTGATGATGCTGTGGACACTGTTGAAATTGACAACAGAAGATTTAGAATAAACTTACTTGATAAAGCAGCTACAGGGTTTGAGAAGATTGACTCCAGTTCTGAAAGAACTTCTCTCGTGGGTAAAACGCTGTCGAAACAGCATTGCATGCTACAGAGAAATCTTTCCATAAAAGGAAGAGTCAGTTCAGGCAGCAAACTTCATTGTTGTCTTGTTTTAAGAAATTGCCACAGCCACCCAAATCTTCAACAAACAGCCATCAACATCAAGGCAGGACCCTCCGCCAACAAAAAGATGATTCGCTAAAGGTTCAGGTGATCATTAGTGCTTTTTAGCAATAAAATATTTTTAAATGAAGGTACGTACATTATTTTGTTAGACATTATGCTATTCCATACTTAATAGACTATATAGCATAGTATAAACATAACTTTTATAAACACTGGGAAACAAATTCATTGTGACTTGCTTTATTGCAGTATTCTCTTTATTGCAGTAGTCTAGAATTGAATCTGCAACTATCTCTGAGGTATGTTTGTACAAAAGTGTATGTACGTGAGGTGAGCCATGATCTTTGAAAGGTAGGAAAAAAAAGAAATATACCAAATTGTGGGGGTAATTGAAGTAATGACATTGTGAGCAATTTCTCATGCCTTCTTTTTGGTTTGTTTTCTCAAATATTTTTGCGATTTTATATAAATAAACATTGATTTTTTACTTTTTTGAGACAGAGTCTCACTGTTGCCCAGGCTAGAGTGCAGTGGCATGATCACAGGTCACTGCATCCATGACCACCTCAGGCTCAGGTGATCCTCCTGCCTCAGCCTCCAGGGTAGCTGGGACTACAAGCTCATGCCACTACACCTGGCTGATTTTTATTTTTTGTACAGATGGAGTTTCACTGTTGCCCAGGATGGTCTCAAACTCCTGGGCTGAAGTAATCTACTCGCCTCAGCCTCCCAAAGTGCTGGGATTATAGGCATGAGCCACCTTGCCCAGCCCATATTTAATTTTTATAGTGGAAAGACCATTGCTTAGTGTTCCCTTAGGCCCTTTTTATAGTATTATAGTTTCATGTACATTTTCTCTACATGTGACATCATCCTAATACTGGACATCTCCAAAGCACCCTTACTTTGTGGTTTATCACATTGTTCCCATTAATGGCTCCCAAAACTGGGCTTACTAAAGCTGAGTATATTTGTAGAATTCCTTTTTCATTCCCTTTCTTCTACAAATGCACCTCTTTCAACCTTAAGGCATGCTGAAATTTCCCTTCCATTGGTGGTAGGTGGTACTGCTTAACTTAATGTTTAAGTTCTTTTACAGAGATTATCGTAAGACTAGGTTACCTTATGACCTCAGAGAAGCACTGAAACCAAATAAAAGAGCATACAGCCACTTTGTTCATAGGGGCCGAGTACTGTCCTGTTACTTAAAGGAAGGTCTTAAAATAGTTTTTTTTTTTTTTTGAGACAGAGTCTTGCTCTGTAGCCCAGGCTGGAGTGCAGTGGGGCAGTCTCGGCTCTGCACCCTTCTCCTCCCAGTTCAAGCAGTTCTTGTGCTTCAGACTCCAAAGTAGCTGTGCTTACAGGCGCATGCCACCAAGCCCGGCTATTTTTTTTGTATTTTTAGTAGAGATGGGATCTCACCATGTTGGCTAGGCTGGTCTCGAACTTCTGACCTCAGGTGAACCTCCCGCCTTGGCCTCCTAAAGTGTTGGGATTACAGGTGTGAGCCACCATGCCCAGCCAGTTTTGCTTTCTTTTTTTTTTTTAAGGTTTTGGAGAAGTACATGTCAGTTCATTTTATTTGGGTGTTCAATAATATCCTTGGTGATAATGCTGACTCTATGGCTTCTGACCCCAGAATTGACCCTGCTACCACTGGTTGTAGCCCTGAGATTGACTTTTGTAGCCATGATTGTTTCCTCATCCTCTGAAGTTCTGGTTGTAGTTCCCTCTGTTGGGCATTCCACCTCTGTGGTAGTTCCCTTTGTTTGAATAACTACCACGGCCAGGAAAAACAGGAGCACGGAGGGTATGGATAGCCGATTCCACCACTTCTACTGCCACTGCCACCTCTCTGTGGCACCTTGCCCCTACTATTATATCCGCCATGATTCCCAGGGGCTCCTCCTCTGAAGTTTCCACCCCGCATATTGAATCCTCCACATCCTCTATGGCCACCACCTCTGTTAAACTGATTCTTGCAACTCTTATTTTTATTGCTCTTCTTTGAGCCGGTGTTCTTTTTCTTTTCTGGTGGAAGAGCCTTTTTGCTTTCTTCCTTATATTGCTCCAAAAGCTTCTTTCTGAAGTTCGACATAGGTTATTTCATCAAAGCACCAGCTACCTCTGGGAGGGTAAAGTTTCCTTTCATTTTGAGGACTGCATGTTCTGGTAGGTCTTTCCCCTCCACTTCTGCTTTCTTCTGTGTTCTTTGCTTCTAGTCTTCATCTTTTGATGAAACTACAACGGCTTTTCGCCAGAAGCCTGCAAACAGGCACATTTTTCTCCTCTGGGCAGCAGCAGACACATTTGTCTGGTCCAGAATAAAATTTCGCTTCTTTCCGGCAGCAATCTCAATAAATTTCCCAAGACACTGTGGGGCTTTCTGCAACAGTGTGTTCAGTTTTCCAGTGTCTGCCATTTGCTTCTTAAAACCTGCCACCACGATTTTATCCGTAGTAGTATTTGTTCCAAGAATGTTGTATTTCCCTGGATTTTCTGCTGCATGCTTAGTAACCCAGGTACTTTTTCCAGCTCCTGGCAAGCCAACCATCATCACAACTTCACAATCTTTCTCTTCAGGCCCCTTTGGTCCTCTTAACTCGATCCTCTAAGGGGACATTCTGAATAAAAGTATACTCTTCAGGTATTAGAAAATACAGCTTTTCCTTCTGACCAAAATTAAATTCAACTGCACAGTTGTGGCAGAGAACATGCTAAAGAGTTGCCTTCCAGCAAGAACTTCTTTACTGATTTTGAAGGCGATGCCAAGATCCTGTCCATTCTTAGTGTAGGAGAGTTCTACTTCGTCACTCAAAGTTAGCAAAACATGTCATCACATCATTTTCATCAAACTTTTCTCCATAATCTTCAGTCTCACAGTTGCATGTTTTTATTCCTTTTAGAGAATATCCGTAAGAAAATTCTTCTTCACCAAGTAACATTCCACTTGTAGTTAGTGAGCAGCCAATACGAACTTCATGTATGTCAGTATCTTTTGTGTATAAATGCCTTACTGGGATCTTTTCTGTAACCTTCATCTCAAAACCCACTTTGCCTTTTGACACACCATAAGGTGCTCTTCCTCCAGCCCAAAGAAAGGCAAAACTCTCCATTGTAAGGGAAGAAACACTGAGACGATCTCTTGCTCTTTTAAAATGCAGATCACAATTATAAGTATCAAGACAGACCACTGTGTCATCCAGGTGTTCCTCTTCAACAGGTGGCTGAGGAGATTTGGCTCTGCTATACTTGTTCTCTTCAGTGTACTCAAAATTTCCACCGCCATGATCTTCTCCTGGTCTTTTAACACCTCTCTTTTTATCTCCGCCTTTCTGTTCTGTTTTGCCGTCCCCTGTAGTCCCAGATACTCAGGAGACTGAGGCAGGAGAATCACTTGAATCCGGGAGGTGGAGGTTGCAGTGAGCCGATAGTGCCACTGAACTCCAGCCTGGGGGACAGAGCAAAAATCCGTCAAAAGAAAGAAGGGCAGGGGAAAGGGGGAAGGGAAGGGAAGGGAATGGGGAAGGGAGGGAAAAAACCAAAGGACAAGGGTCCAGTTTTGCTTTCTTTTAAGCCTGCACAGAAAAAGGTTAAGTTCTTATTTGTTTGTAAATTTATATTCCACCATTAAAAAAAAGAACTTGGCCAAGTGGGGTTTGAGACCTACCCTAAGCCAGCACACACAGCACACACTACCTTGTGTTGCACTGGGCTGAGACCTAGTCTCTAAACAGAAGGAATTCTTTACATACTTCTCATGGCTTATGTTGTACATATCACTTAGAGCTCGTGGTGGAAGATTATTGGAGACAGCGTTTCAAAATGGCAATAAAGTGTTTCTTACCAGTTTTTCTGGAAAACATCACTTTATTGTTTTGCGGTGTATTGGCCTTGGGACCCTAACACCGGTGTTGTAGCCATGTGACCCTTATTTGTACAGCAGTATTATTTTTCATGTCATTTTTATATTTAACCCTTGGAGTTGGAGCCATCTTTGATTTTTCTCTCTTTCTTCTAAATATTTGTTTAGTTGCAGACCATTATTCTTTCTTCATAATCTCTTTTACATTCCACCGTCTGCCCTTCCCACTATTATTATTATTATATTCTGTCACCCAGGCTGAAATGCAATAGCACAATCCCGGTTTACTGCAGCCTTCTCCTTCTGGGCCTAAGCAGTTCTCCTGCCTCAGCCTCAAGTAGCTGGGACTGCAGGCACGCACCACCACACGTGGCTAATTTTTGTGTTTTTAGTAGAGACAGGGTTTCACCATGTTGACCAAGCTGGTCTCCAACTCCTGGCCTCCAGTGATCCATCTGCCTCAGCCTCCCAAAGTGCTGGCATTACAGGCGTGAGCCATCATGCCCACTGTTCTTAGGCTATTAATCTACTGTCTCGTGAAGGGCTTTTAAAAATCTATATCCTTTCCTCATACGGCATTTTACACAACACCATCTGATTAGTCCTCTTAAAACCGCAGAAGCTTTATGCTATCCCTTTCAGCAAACTTGATTGAATTCCTGTTCAAGTGCAAACTCCCCTGCCTGCTCTCAGGACTCTTCACATTTTGACTCAGCTTACTTCCTCTAGATTGTCTCACATGAATCCCCTGATGAACATTCTACTCCAGCCTTGGCAGTCTGTTCATGCCAGAGAAATGCCTTGGGCCTTCTCTCCTTGGGTCTTTTTTTATGCCTTTCCCCTGCCAGATGCTTGTCTGAATTCTTTGCATTCTTCAAGTTCCTGTGTAACTTTTCCTGGCTATTAAAGCCTGAAGTGATCTTTGTAGTCTGAAATTTTGCAGTAAATAATGATGTGTATTTGATTCTGTAAATATTACATTAAATATTAAGTACTGTAAATGTTAGAGTTACATAAAGTTTAAAGTTCCTAGATGTATGAAATTCCTACATCCTGCATTTCTGCATTTAATCTCTCCTTACCCATCACCCTGGAGCACAGCGCTTCCCAAGCCAACACATTGACCCATTTAGTAAAACCTTGACTCCATTTGTCCTTTCGTCCTGGTGTTTCTTTTTTCTTTTTCTTTTCTTTTCTTTTTTTTGAGACACGATCTCGCGTTGTCACTCATGCTGGAGTGCAGTGGTGCAAACATGGTTCACTGTAGTCTCAACTTCCTGAACTCAAGCGATCCTCCCGCATCAGCCTCCTGAGTAGTTGGGACCACAGGCATGCGCCACCATGCCTCGCTAGTTGTTTATTTTTTGTAGAGATGAGGCCTCACCATGTTGTCCAGGCTGGGTTTCTTTGTTTTTCGTTTTTGTAGATAGGATCTCCCTTTTTCACCCAGGGTGGTGTGTGGTGGTGTGATCATGGATCATGGCTCATTGCAGCATCAAACTCTTGGGCTCAAGAGATCCTCCTGCCTCAGCCTCCTGAGTAGCTGAGACTACATGCCACCACGCCTGATTAATTTTTGTATTTTTTGTAGAGAAAGGGTTTCATCATGTTGTCGAGGCTAGTATTGAACTTCTGGACTCAAGCAGTCAGCCTGCCTCAACCTCCCAAAGTTCTGGGATTACAGAAGTGAGCCACCGAGCCTGACGTCAGACTTCTGATTTTTGAAATAATACAGAATAAGACTTTGTTTTATAAGAACTCTAAAAATCTTTGACAATAGCCTTCATGTCTCCTGAAATCATTTCTACTCCAGGTGAAACCTGTTCCTGTTACATTTCTTGTATGCTTTGTTTTCCAATTCCTCTTCCTGTTTTGATAATGGTTCTGTCCTATCCAATGTCCCTCTTAAATTTTGGTCCCAGCAATGAAACACACGCCAGTGCAGATTACAGAGAGACGATTCTTTCTGTGCTCTGGAGACTATGAAAATGGGCGTAACCTAAATTGCCCATACCTCTTCAGCAGCCATACTGTTGGCTAAGGTTTAAATAGTAAAACTCTAGCTTTCTTCCATGGAACCACTGTTCATCCACCCTGTCTTGCTTTTTATCTTGTGAACACTAAATCTCATGACTGACTGAGTTGTCCTCTCTTTGTTGGCTGCTGAGGACTCAGTCACACTTGACATCTACCTCTCTTAAGCCCTTTTAAAACCTTGTATTCACTAACCTACCCTGGCTTCATTTTTTCCCTCTCTTATCTTTCCTTTCCATTCTATCCAATTTAATACTTTTCCCTATGAAGCTTATTGTATGTTTATATTCTTTTTTTTTTTTTTTTTTTTTGAGACAGTTTTGCTCTTGTTGCCCAGGCTGGAGTGCAATGGCACGATCTCAGCTCACTGCACCCTCTGCCTCCTGGGTTCAAGTGATCCTCCTGCCTTGGCCTGCTAAGTAGCTGGGGTTACAGGCATGCACCACCACACCCCGCTAATTTTGGATTTTTAGTAGAAATGGGGTTTCTCCATGTTTGTCAGGCTGGTCTTGAACTCCAGACCTCAGGTGATCTGCCCGCCTTGTCCTCCCAAAGTGCTGGGATTACAGGCGTGAGCCACCACACTCAGCCAAGTTCTTTTTTTTAATAGTGGAATATAGACTTACAAACAAATAAGAACTTAACCTTTGTGTAATTGTAAACTCTTTTGTTTTCATTTCATCAGTGTATACTCCTCTCTCCTCAAAAAACAAATCATGGTGCCAGTATATTTGAAGTCATTAGCATTGCCTCTACTGCCTAAAATTTCATTTTTTTCAATGCTTAGTAAATATACTCCAAGTATGTAATTGTATCACAGAATGTGTGCATTTAAAATGCATAAAGCCTGTCATTTAAAATATTTATACACAGTCTTTGTAAACCTCATCTGTGTGGCTGCATGATATTTCACAGATTGATGGTCCATGGTTTACTTACACATTCATTTTGGGTGTTTTTATTGTTTTTAGTTTGGTTATAAATAATGCTGGAATAAACATCTTTTTGTGTAAAACTTCCTCCATTTTTATGTTGTTCTTAGAATAGGTTTTTAAAAATGTATAATTTATATTAAAAATACAGTAACTGTCTGAGGTTTTTGATTTAACTCAATTCTTTTAATTGAAGTGATGAATTTATATTTTACATTATGAAAAAGTAGGTCCTATGGTGTGAAGACTTGTGAAAGAGCTTTAGATAAGATTGCATCTTATGATAATATGTAAGTAAGCGCAGTGAAATTTAACACTCTCTTTTTTCTTTCCACAGCTGGATAGAACTTACACTGGCTTGCAGACTCTTGGAGCAGAGACGGTAGGTTTTTTTTCCTACAGTGTTATCTTATTATCTGGGAATGAGTAGGATGAAAACTGATCTTCATTTTTTGTTTTGTTTTGTTTTGTTTTGAGGCAGTGTCTTCGTCCTGTCACGCAGGCTGGAGGGCAGTGGCGTGATCTTGGCTCACTGCAACCTCTGCCTCCCAGGTTCAGGCGATTCTCCTACCTCAGCCTCCTGAGTAGCTGGGACTACAGGCACGCACCACCATGCCCAGCTAATTTTTATATTTTTAGTAGAGATGGGGTTTCTCCATGTTGGCCAGGCTGGTCTCGAACTCCTGACCTCAGATGATGTGCCCGCCTCGTCCTCCCAAAGTGCCGAGATTACAGGTGTAGCCACTTCATCTGGCCAATCATTTATAATTAGGGCAAAATATTAGTGTTAGTTTTTTTTAAGTTTGTCTGTCTGTGTTAGTCCATTCTCAGACTGCTCTAAAGAACTACTGAAGACTGGGTAATCTATGAAGAAAAGAGGTTTAACTGACTCACAGTTCCACAGGCTTACTAGGAAACATGGGTTGGAGACTTCAGGAAACTTAAAATCACAGTGAAAGAGTGAAGGGGAAGTGAACACCTTCTCATGGCAGGAGGAGAGAGAGTGTGAAGTGGGAAGTGCCACATACTTTTCAACCATCAGATCTCTTGAGAGCTCACTCACTATTATGAGAACAGCAGGGGGGAAATAGGCCCCATGATTTGATCACCTCCCACCAGGCCCTTCCTCCGATATGGGGGAGGGGTGGGATTACAGTTTGAGTTGAGATTTGAGTGGAGGCACAGCCAAACTGTATCACTTCTCTGCCTCATTTTTTGTTTGTTCTCTCTGTTTTTTTTTTTTTTTTTTTTGAGACCGAGTGTCACACTGTTGCCAGGCTGGAGTGCAGTGGCGTGATCTCGGCTCACTACAACCTCCGCCTCCCAGTTTCAAGCGATTCTCCTGCCTCAGCCTCCCGAGTAGCTGGGGACTACAGGCACACACCGCTACGCCCAGCTAATTTTTGTATTTTTAGTTTCACCCTATCAGTCAGGCTGCTCTTGAACGCCTGACCTCAGGCAATCCACCCACCTTGGCCTCCCAAAGTGCTGGGATTACAGGAGTGAGCCACTGCACCTGGCCTTCTCTTTTCTTTTCTTTTTCTAATTGAGAAACTCTGTCACCCAGCTTGGAGTGCATAATATAATCATGGCTCACTGCAACCTTGAATTCCTAGATTCCAGCGATTCTCCCACCTCAGCCTCCAGATAGCTAGGACTACAGCCCTGCACTACCATGCCCAGCTAATTTTTAAATTTTTTATAGAGACAGTGTCTCACTATGCTCACAGGCTGCTCTTGAACTCCTGGCTTCAAGCAGTCCTCTCACCTCAGCCTCCCAAAGCACCAGGATTATAAGCATGAGCCACTGCACCCAGCCTTGGTTCATGTACTTTTTAAAAATTGTGGTTAAAAAACGTGTAACACAAAATTTACCATCTTACCCATTTTTCAGTGCACAGTTTAGTGGTATTAAGTGCATTTATGTTGTTGTGCAGCCATGACCGTAGTCCATCTTTAGAACTGTTTTCATCTTGCAGAGCTGAAACTCTGTACCCATTAAACAATGACTCCCCGCTCCTCCTCCCGCTCCCCCTTCCCCCCCCCCGCCCCCCGCCAGCCCTGGCAACTGCTGGTCTACGTTCTGTCTCTATGAATGTGACTACTCTAGAATACCTCCTATAAATGGAATCATATAGTATGTGTCTTTTTGTGATTGCCTTATTTCACGTTGCATAATGTCCTCAGATTTCATCCATGTTGTAGCATATGTCGGAATTTCCTTCCTTTTTTAAATAATTTATTTTCATTTATTTGTTTTTGAGAAAGGGTCTTACCCTGTCATCCAGGCTGGAGTGCAGTGGTGCAATCATGGCTGACTGCATCTTTGAACTCCCAGAGTCAGGTAATCTGTCCTCAGCCTGTCAAGTAGCTGGGACTATAGGCATATGCCACCATGACCAGCTAATTTATTTACTTATTTTTGGTAGAGACAGGGTCTTACTGTGTTGTCCAGGCTTGTCTTGAGCTCCTGGGCTCAAGCCATCCACCTGCCTTGGCCTCCCAAAGTGTTGGGATTATAGGCCTGAGCCACTGTGCCCAGCCCCTCTTTTTTAGGCTTAATAGTATTGCATTGTATGTGTGTACCACATTTTATTTATCTGTTCATTTGCTGGTGGATGCTTGAGTTGCTTTCACCTTTTGGCTATTGTTAATAGTGCTGCTATGAATGTGGGTGTACAGGTGTCTATTAAAATCCTTGTTTTCAGTTCTTTTGGGTATATACCCAGAAATAGAACGGGCTAGATCATATGGTCATTGCATTTTTAGAGGAAGCACTGCTGTATTTTTCATGGCAGCTGCACCATTTCACACTCCCACCAACAGTGCACTGGTGTTCCAGCTCCTCCGCATCTTCACTGGCATTTGTTAACTTTCTTTTGTTTTTAATTTATAGTAGCCATTCCCATGGTTGTGTTGTGATGCCTTGTGGTTTTGACCTGTGTTTCTGTAATCATTAGTGATACTGAGGATCCCTTCCTGTGCTCCTTGGCCATGTGTTTATCTTCTTTGGAGAAATGTCTATTCAAAGACATTTTTTAATTAGGTGGTTTGGTTTTTGTTGTTGTGGAGTCACGGGAGTTATTCATATATTCTGGATAGTAACCCCTTACCAGATAGATGAATTGCAAGTATTTACGTCCATTCCGTGATATATTTTTGCCTTTTCACTCTGTTGATTGTGTCCGTTGATGCACAGAAGTTTTTAAGTTTGATGTAGTCCGATTTGTCTATTTTTTCTTTTGTTGCCTGTGCTTTTGGTGTCATATCCAAGAAACCATTACCAAATTCAGTATCATGAAGCTTTTCCCTTGTATTTTCTTCTAAGAGTTTTGTTTTAGCTTTTATGTTTTGGTCTTTGATCCATTCTGAGTTCATTTTGATATATAGTGTAAAGTAAGGTTCCAGTTGCATTCTTTTGGATGTGGATATCCAGTTTTCTTAGCACCATTTGCTGAAAATATTGTCTTTTCCCCCACTGAATGGTCTTGGAACCCTTGTCAAAGATCATCTGACCATGTATGTGAGGATTTAATCTATTCCACTGCTCTGTATGTCTGTTTTTATTCCGTTGCTCTTTATGTTTCTTTTTATGCCAGCAGCATACTATTTTGATTACTATAGCTTTGTAATAAATTTTGAAATCAGGAGTCTGGGACCTCCAACTTTCTTGTTTACCTTCTTCCCCCTTTTTTGTATTTGTGATACAATGTCAGCAATTGCTATTTAATCAGAGTTTACTAATTAAATCTTACTCCGTCTAGAGAAATCTGCTGTGTTATATCAGAAGGTGCTTACTGAGCACTGATCCAGGTGCTGAGAATACAGAAATGAACAAGGTAGCTTCTTCCCTCAAAGAATCATATTGTTAGTGGCATTGAAAATGGGGAGGGCAGAGTAAACACAAAAGCAAAAAAAATTTTTTTCAGTTTCAAATAAGTGCTATGAGGATGAGAGTAGCCAGTGGGTAAGGAAGTTGCTTATGTTTGGGTGGTTAGGGA